CATTAGGTCTAAAGAAACTCATTATAATAAACTTTCGCTATAACTGGATTTATAAATGAATCTGCCTTCATTCATAATTAAGGTACAGCGTACTAGCATACTAACACTGAACGAACTCGGCTCTTGCTAGTCAAAAAAAAAAAAAAGCTTTTTACCTTTCGCTAATAAATAACCAGTACCTATATATAAATAAATCGTTACCTACCTGTGTGGAATCGGCATCTAGTGTCTTGTGCGCCGTGGAAGTAGTGTTGTAAAGGTGTATTGAGTGGTGAACGTCGTGGGAGCCTCTGTAGTGTGAAGCGAACATAAACGAATCAAAGCAGTGCCACCTACTACTAACCCGCACGACAATAATATAAATTTTAAAATTTTCGAAGTTCATTAGGTCTAAAGAAACTCATTATAATAAACTTTCGCTATAACTGGATTTATAAATGAATCTGCCTTCATTCATAACTGAATCAACACAAATAATTAAAGCAAAGCAATAAAGGTTGTAAAGTTCTAAAAATATACTCTCGAGTTAAATAACAAAAAGGAAGCCTGAAGTCTAGTTTCTTTAATGCCACATTTGCATGCTATGCATAATATATTACTTTACACTCAATGTGACCTAACCATCCATACTCACGTGTTTGCTAATCGTATTATACTCTACTACTTTACTAAACCATACTCTACTACTATTCGTATTACTAATAAAAAATATATCTTTGCTTTATTTAATATAATAAAGAATATAATTGAACCAACGGATATACAATATAATTGTTTTCTGAATAAATTTTAAAATTTTGTTATAATTAAAAAATATTCAATAAATTCAAAATTTCAGCAAGTAATCATTAAATAAACTAATTGTATTTAATATGAAAATGTTATTTGAAGTTTTACTACAAATATTATGCATTCATTGGAGGAAACATACCGTAATGTGCACTATTTTTTTTAAAGATAACATATGATTCACTAGTTCAGGAGATAGACGTGTTCGTTTAGATGAGATGTGATTCCCAGCATCCGAGAATAATCGTTCACTTGGCACGGATGTAGCTGGGATTGAAAGATATTTTCGGGCTAATAAAGCCAATAAAGGAAAAATACTTTTTCTACTATTCCACCAAATAAGTGGATCTTCATGAGGTTTAGCTTCAGGATATTTAAGATATTGTGATACTTCGTCTTCTTCAAATTCTATTATATCATTATTTGATCCTCCTAAGTTAAAAACTTCAGCAAAAAAATCATCATCTCCTAAAGTATCATTTTCACTAAAAGTAGTTATATTAGATGCTTGGCTTTGATCTTGTAATTGTAAATTGTCTTTTATATTTTTATACAATTCACGAAGTTTAATTCTTGTGTTTGTTCGTTGAGTATCTGTAGTAAATCGTAAACTTTTCATCCTAGGATCCAGGATTGATGCAACTAAAGCTATATCATTTGGAACACACCACAATTCATCTAATGACAAGTAGATAGCAGCTCTAACGTTATCCAAAAGACCTGAAGTATCAGTTGGCGGTAAATATTCGATTTCATATATGTCATTCGACTCAACTGATTTATTTTGTGATCGTTGACTTACATTACTTTTACCTTTACCTTTATTATGACTTTGGATTTTTTTTCGATTTTGACTTCGGCCTTTACTATGCTTTTTATACATATTTCGTTTAAATTGACGGTGAGCAAATTGCCAATGTCGACGTTTACCTGCTGATGATATATTTTCATCTTCACTAACAGAACTTGAATCATCAGTATCAGATAATTTTTCTATATTGGGTTGATTAGGTAAATCTTCTAACTCGCCATAAATTAAGGTTAAGTAAGAATCAATCGTTTCATTTTTTTCAGATCGTGGTTGAAACTTTTTTTTAAGTATTTCTATATATGGGTGAACTAAATTAAGTGTAGGATATTTTGCACCACATATATAGCGAGTTACTATTTCAAAAGGACTTAATAAATTTACTATGCTTTGAATACAATTTTTTTCATCTATAGTTAAACATAATCTGTCGAGTTTTTCACCCTCTAATTGAGAACTACGATCTTTTTTTGAAAGTAATGTTGTAGAAACTAATTTCATTGCTGTGTGTAATTCTAAAACCCGTTTCCAAGCAAGGTACGTTGAGTTCCAACGTGTCTTAGTTTCACTTAAAACATTTAATGGATTAAAATTATTATTTTCATTTTGATTATTAGATATATCAGTGCCCTTTATTTGTAATTGTGCTTCATAAAGTCTTTGCGCCTGTTTAGGAAGCCTAAAAAATGCTATTAAATTTTTCATTCAACGATGCACTGCCTTGCATTGTTTTAAACCTTGTTAAACTGTCAATTGCAAAGTATGAGCAGCACATGCTTGTCTTGTAACCTCAGATAATTGTGACTTAAGTATACGTACGCCTTTAATCATATTTGTGGCGTTGTCTGTAGTTATTGTATATACTAATGAACTTAAATTCCATTTTTGAATAATTGAAAAAAGCTCTGCACTAATAATTTCTCCTGAATGAGGATGCGGTAATTTACTACAAGTTAAGAGAACTTCTTTAAACACAAAATCTTCAGTAAGCCAAGTACCCGTAATACCGATATAACTATGCTTGCTTTTTGCAGTCCAAAGATCCGTAGTCAAATGAACACAACCTGCCGTATTTGAAATTAATTTATGAAGTTGATCAACATTCCAATCGTATGCCCGATAAATCATATTTTTAGCAGATTTAATACAAGGTATTCTATATCCCGGTTCACATCCATTTACAAATTCACGAAAATCTTCATCCTCTAATATATATAGTGGTTCAACAAATCTTATAATAAATTTAATAAGAAGTTGTGAAAGATAAGTTTGACGTTGAGTTGTACATGGAGCTGATTTTTTATAAAAATCAGTTAATTTAGTTTGATCTATGTTTGGTTCGCTAGTTTCATCCAGAAATTGTTTATAATTATCATTAGTTATTTTGTGTTTGTCACGCAAATGAGCAGACAAATTAGAAGTATTACCTCCCTTACGTACGTATGGATAAGGTTTTTGCTGAGTATCTTTTAAATTATTCTCGCATATTTTACAATATGCGATTTCTTTATTGTTTGACTTACTTCGAAAAAAATAACTAGTATGATTTTGATTTTTACGTTGTGTAGTTCCAACTAAAGAGGTTGGATTAACATTTGACTTTCTTTTTTTTCGACCATAATCAGAATATGATGTAGTATTTGAAGAAGTTTCAGCGGATGTTGAGGCAAAATTGTTCTCAGAAGTTTCATTTGTATTAAAATAACTTTCTGAAACAGAAGAATACCACGAATTTACATCAATATCGTTTATGTCGTCTTCAAATTCTTCCATATTAAAAAAATCAAATTACTGTTACGATCACTGTTATATGAATTTAAATATAAAATTGTTCAGTGTCCATCCGATTTTTGAATCAAGAATGTAACCAACAAACATATACTATTAAATGATTATTACTTGAAAATGATTACGTTTTTGATTCAAACCCACTTTTAAATATGGATATATTGAGTTTTACAATTTTTTAAATAAAGCAGATTACTAAATAATCATAATTATACTGATTACAGGTTTAGAACTCATGAATAACTGGTCTCCATGTTGTAAGAATTGAAACTATTGGCAGAGTAAATTTTTTTTTTGCCGTTCTGTTAATCATGTTCAAATTTCCTATCCTTCCTAATCTATTGTTTTACAATTTGTTTAACACCCTTAAAGAATTGTGTAATATATTTTTTGATTTTATTACGGGTTAGTGCTGATTTATTTGAGTAATACATTATCAAGATTGATCAATTCTTTGATGCAAAACAGAACAAAATCAAAACAAGAGCACAAGTATAGCTCTAGAAAAATTTCAGAATGCAAAGTTTATCTTGCGCAATATTTAGACTGTTTGATTTCTTTGCAATTGTTTGTTTCAGATTTGTAAGCCTATTCTCTGAAAAATTGCTTTGTTTTATTTCATCGAAGTTTTTGTAATGAAAGGCAAAATCTTAAAGTTGATTTGATTATACAATTGTACAGGTCACTATTTTTTTTGTGACACTACTTTTGAAGATCAGTTTTCTCACGCATGATTACTATGTAATTTGCTGCTTTAGCCTTTTATAGACTGTTTTTGTGATGGCTGTTGTATTATCTCGTTAGATGCAGGTTTTCTTGCTTAAAATTATAATCGCATATGATTGTCAAGCGATGAACTGATAAGTGTTAGTTAATTCTATAACGATAATTAGTAATGAACTCTGGATATAACTAACTCAGAATTTTAAAAATTTACACAATTATTCAATATAGAAGTGCCATGAGTCCTTAAGAAAACATAGTAATTTTCTATAACAACTTTTTTTATTAATAAATTATTACTCAGTAAAGAATTTGACCAAAATTAGCACAAGTAATGCTACAGAAGCGCCAGTGACACTTGTATTTCAATAATTAAATTATTCTGCTTTGCAAAATTCTGACTCCCTTGATTACTAATATTTATAAAATGATTGTGATTGTGATTGCGATTGCGATTGCGATTGTGATTGCTAAAGCTAGCAAATTTATTATATATCTAACTCAGATTTATTATAAATTAGCCAGCTTTAGCAATCGCAATCGCAATCAATTGTAATCACAATCATTTTATAAATATTATTAGTAATCAGATATTGATATAGTCAGATCATTTGATTCTGCGTATGTACATATATACATACCAATGACATGCAAGATTTACATTTCTCAACATAATCCCGACTAAACGTGTTTAACGATAAATCTAAAGACCATGAGATTATATAAGTAATACTTAATTAAAATATACATTACATGATTACAAACCCATGAGCTAGATACGAACTAGATTGAAGATTAATTATTGTTATGTAACTATCGATCCATCGGACGTTAGGCTGTATACATCTAAAGTAACAGGTCGAACTCAGCTATCTCACTTAAAATAACAAGCGAGAAAGTTTTATATAGTAAATATAGATAATCAGTAATATGGTTATCACGGAGTTCTATAAATGCTAAGCATCACATAATGATTCTTGTACTGGCGTAGCAGCCAAAAATAAAAACAAAGTCTTTGCCTACTATTGCAACTACAGAGTAATAGATGAGTTAATGATTTGTTATTTTAGCAATGGGTGGCATTTATTATTTCAACAGTTGGTGAGTTCACAATTTCAGTAAACAGTAAGTTCATGTACGTTCTAACACATGTTATTTTGCATAGGATAGCTAACTTTAAATTCTTGTCAGCAGCTCTTGTATCACTACGTATAAATAAAATTGGTTATAAATTTTAATTTGGTTATAAATAAATTCGATTATAATTTAAACCGTTTATAAATAAATCCGATTATAATTTAAATCCGGTTATAAATAAATTCGATTATAATTTAAATCCGGTTATTAATATAACCGGATTTATAATTTTAAAATTTTAAAATCGGTTATATTCAAAACCGGTTATAACCGGTTATAAATTCGGTAGATTATAACCGGTTCTTAACACTAACTGACGCGATGGAGGTTTGTATCTTGGATCAAATGTGTTTACCATTTTTTGAAACCAGTGATTTTTGACAACTGCAAATGGGAGCTGGCAACAAACTATAAGATTTAAAACAGAATTTAAACACTCTTTTTTACGTCGAGCATCACCTTTACCATACGGTTTTTGAACTAAGTTGTTTTTTTTAAGCTAAGTTCTATATCATGCTTATTACTAAGATGGTTACTTAAAACACCAGTAGTTGTTGTAGGGCTAAATTTCTGTCCACATTTTCCACAAATTCTCGCGATAACTTTATCTCCTTTTTCCTCACTCATAAAATTCTATACTGGTGATGTTTTATTATGCTTATTACGATTTATACTAAAACTATCTGATAATTCTTTTTGTTGTGATGACATGACGGTAGCAATTGCCTCACCTTTTACATCATTAAGCGAATCGGATTCCTCCTCAGAAGTAGCATCGCAAAGATCAAATTCATCAGAAGTAGTGTAGCAATCAGACATATTAAGGGTAAAGCAAGTATGTTATAATTTTGTTTGGAATTTTTGTTTTTTTAATAACTGAATCGTTTCTTTTTATAATCTTTAGACGATTAAGATACAACATTATGCTGTATTATAAAAGATGTGATAACAATTTACATGACATGGTGTTTGTAAGTAGCACTTTGTTTCACGTAATGCAGTATTTGTACAGATGTTATTCACTCATTTTACTAGTTAGTTTTTAATATATAAGCCAATAACTTCACTAATTAAGATAGTTTTTATCAGTTTACTCTTTTAAACAATGCGATTAAGGGTGATATCATTACTTTATTACTATTCATTTATTAATTCGATAAATATTGGTTTATTAATTCATTACGCAATTGTTAAATAATAATTAAATTAAATGAGGATGTTATCAGCTTGACCCGGCTTGCATATTCAACTATTGCAAAAACTGATTGATGAATAGGGTCGAATAAGCCAGTAAAATCTCTAGTCAGTTGGATAACAATTAACTAAAGAGCATTAGGCAGATATTTAACTGTTGTCTGCATTAATTAGCACGTTAAATGCATATAATCTTGAACAGTGTTTCGCTTATTGTCAACCACAATTAAAAAATTACTGCGTTTGTGTATTTGCAAGCAAGATGCAGGGCATAAATTAATTTAATATACTGTATGTTTATTAATTAAATAATTAATCTTTAACAAGCTTAATTAGTACATTAATGATATTGTTCAGAATAACGATAACCTTATTATGAACTGGAATAAATTACCATATTTGTACAACAATCAGCGCACCCCTAGCATGCACGAAAATTAATATATCTCTATGTTAATATCTATTATAAACAATTGACTTATAACAATTTATTTTATTTTTAGATAATTACGGTTAAAAAGCACTATATAGTCTTCATTATTGAATCAATAGAGGTTAATAACTGTACAGAAGAGAAGTAAATCAAGTCAACATCATAAATATCAAATAAGCTAGGATACATTTTTTATATATTTTAAAATTTATTTAATTCTTTGTATAAACAATTAGACATAAGCATAATTTGAATTTTTTACCGAATTAGCCAGGGTGATCTCCCGAAGGTCGTGTTATATGATATATGTCACACTATAAACTGAAGCTTTTAGCCAAATGAATTTTCAAAAATCGCTGAATCAATTTTAGTCAGTTATATTCTAATTTTAATGGATAGATAAGTTTGTAATATGTGCTCCTGATGCACTTTTGACGCAAGAGTGACTGGTAACTTACGAAAAAAGCCTGTAATATAATAAGTAGGTTCATAATTTCATCAATGGGTAATTTCAATAATGAGCATATAATTTAAACAGTACGGTTTATGACTTCAACAGTGGGGAGAGTTTATGAATATTAACAGTGGCTTAGTTTATGTTTTAATAGTAGCTATAAATAGTTGGATTCATGATTTCAATAGTTTTGATTTCAATAGGTTTATATGAGTTTATGATTTATTAGCGGATGGGTTCGCAATTTTAATGGCGATGAGTTTGTGATTCCAACAGTAGATAGTTCATGATTTCAACTGGATATTATACCCGCCAAGGAAGCTTCTAGAGTATTATTAAACTACCCTGTCATCTGAGTAATTTATTATAATATCTAACAAAAATCTCTACCTGGGTGCAATCTCTAAGTTCAATTATAAATAGTTTATGATTTTAACTATAAATGGGTTTACAATTTTTAGCAATGGTTGGGTTCACAATTTAGCAAAGTAAGCTAACGATTTTAATAGTATGTGGATTAGGGATTCAATAGTGGATAGATTTGGGATTTCAATAGTGGATAGATTAATAATTTTAACATGATTTAAAGATAGAGAGGTTATGTTTTAACAATGAGCAGGTTTAGGGATTTTAATAATGGGTGGGTTATGATTTAATTGTAATTTTAATAGTGGGCTTGTTTATAATAGAATTTGTCTTTAAAAAATTTGATTATGTGGTTGAGATTGGCCCACTATTTAAGATTTTTAAAATTTTGTTGATCAATTTATTAAAAGAATTTTAAAAGAATTTTTCATAGCAATTTTATAATAAAAATGGTATATTTTTAAAATGTTCTAACTCTTGTTCTAGTAGAGCAAATTCAATTATGCAACTTGTAAATGTATATAAATAATGTACTTTTAAAACTATGTTGAAATATTTTT